CCGAGCAAAACTAAATGCAGCCCCTTAGCGAAAATCTGCTGGAATTCTTTTTTTTAAAAAAAGATTTTATTTATTTATTTTTAGAGAGAGAAGGAAGGGAGATAGAGAGAGAGAGAGAAACATCAATGTGCGGTTGCTGGGGGTCATGGCTTGCAACCCATGTATGTGCCCTGACTGGGAATCAAACCTATGACACTTTGGTTCACAGCCCGTGCTCAATCCACTGAGCTATACCAGCCAGGGCATGGGATTCTTGTGGAATGCAAGGCTGCATGGATTATCAATGAGAAATGCCTACAAAGACCACTTCCCCTGTCCAATGGATCATTCCTGGGAAACCTGAAATACTCAAGAAAAGTATGCAAGTTAGACATCTTGGAATATGGAAATGTAATATACAGGGGGTATTAATTTTACCAGTCTGCACATATCACCCTTCTACATTGTGACGGGAATTCTAAATAAAACCATTTGTCATTGTGGATAAAGTATAAAGAATCCTATTAGGCTTGGTATTATCAAAAAGGAATGAGAAGGTTTGACTAGTTAAGCACATTTAGCCACTCACACCTGTGAGTATTAAATATTCAGATAAACCATTTTCAAGATTTTTTTCAAGAGCCATTCTCATCCCACGGGTAGAGTCCAGAGCCAGATTCATGACTTTAAAAACATTGTGGCACTGCCATAATGTGTCAATACACAAGCTGATCTTGCTTATTTTCAAGGATTATCCAAAGGTCAGAAAATAATTCAGAAACCCCATATGGGCATCTAAGGAGAATACGATGATAAAATTAGTTATGTTGTCCGTATCCCCTGCAATCACAGAAGGACCAACCACTGGCGTTTGTTGAAAACAGTATTCGAGTGATTGAATGTCCATTCCTGGGCATTCTTCTCGGTCATCAGTCATTTTAGGAACGGGTAGGAAAAGCAACCTCACAACAGCACCAACTGTAAAATCTTTTGACTATCTGGGATTTACATACAGTGTTGTCCATCCAAAAGCCAGCCAATCTTTGCTATGTCAGAAATCTTTTTTTTTAAGTGCAGTATACCTTACATTAAACAGTAGTTGGATTGAAAGAAAACCCAGTAGTAATAACCATTTTATTAAACTTAAGCCAAAGAGCATTGTATGTTGAGATGTGAACATGCTAAATTTTAATCACTGCATGCATGTTAAGACATATACTATAACGTTCTCCAGAATTTTTAGAAAACAATGGATTTTATCCTTTCGAATACATCAAAATGATGGACTATTTTCCTATGAGCAGGATTAAAACTTTTCTGTCATAGATTATTAAGAGGAATGTAATCGTTATGTTGCCAAGAGTCCAGGTCACCTTGGAAGATTTTCCCCTACTGAGCCCTTTGAATTTATGTCTCTGTATTTAGTCAGCATGGGATTATCCCTAACTGCTTAGGGATAAATGAAGAAAAGCTCAGGCATGGTTGCATTTTAGCAACCATCTTTTTTAAAAATTTAATCTTTATTGTATTTTTCCCATTACCATTTAGCCCTCTTCTACCCCCTTGTGGTCACCACCCTGTTGTCCGTGAGTCCTTTTTCCTTTGTGCTTGACCCCTGCACCCCCCGACCTCCCCCTGCACTAGCTGTCAGCTGCTCTCCACCTGTGCACAGTGTGAGAGGCGCGGACTGACACACTCCCCTTGTGAGAGGAAGACTTGACAAAACAGAAATGTGACAGATACTTCGGAGGCTGGCTTGTGGCCTCTCAAGTAATTTTACCAGCACGCTGATCTGATTTTAGGCTAGAATCCTCACAGGGTTAGGAAATAATGAGGGTTTTGCAGGAAAAGCTTGTGGTCTGAGCCTTAATTGTCTCCTCTCAGGTGATTGGTCTGTGGGTTGGTTGGTCATTGACTTTCTCTCTGCTACACCTTAAAAAAGGCTCTTTCTAATTTTCGATTCTACTATTGTTTTTCACAGTAAAATCCCTCCATCCACTCCCGACCCACAGGCCCAAAACCAACAGAACATGTGGTTCTCAGTGTTGGCTGCATATATACACATATACATATACATATACATACACATATACATATACATATACATATACAATTAGTATGACCTGGAACCTTTAAAAGCCCCGTGCCCAGGTTGCACCTTAGACCAACTAAATCCAACATCTGCAGGTGGGACCCACCATCCCTATGTTTTAAAGCTTTCTGGGTTATTCCATTGTGTTTCCAGGGTTGAAAGACACTTTTTAAATAAATGATGCTAGAGGCTTTGAATGATCTTAATTGTAAGATGAAAACTATCCATAAAGAGACATTTTCCCCCACTATGTGCTTCCTACAACTTATACATCCCAATGTACAAATGTTCTTGCCGTACAATTATGGCTCGATAGACGTTATTTCTGAAGGACTACTGTGGCACCCCTTTTTTCAGGACACTGTGTCCTTATTTCATGTGACAGTTACTACCACTGGGTGCTGCTGCCTGCGGACATGACCACCTGCCCAGGCCAGTGTGACCACAGAACCAGCTCAAACTGGCCCTGCCCTGTTTCTAACAAGATACTGGATTGCTGTTCAGGGACAACAGACCAAAACCACAAGTCACACAGCTGAACCGTGTGTGGAGGAGAGAACTTTGACCTCTGGTTGTACCAAGCACCAAAGTCCTGTCCCCTTCACAGAACCGAGGGACCGGGACGTGACTGGGATTTGAACACGGGAACCCTTCCTTTCAGAAGAGAAAGGTCCATTGTCCAGGGAGATCAGCGCTGAAGACGTTTCCCCTAACTTAGCAAAAATGGCCACATTCCAAGGCTCTCCAGTCCAAACCTTCCCCACAATGCTTCCCCATAGCAGCCTGTTTCCCCCAACCCCTAAAAACTTGCCTTGAGCCCTGTGCAGGGAGCTTTGCCTTGAACTGGAGCTTTGCCTCCTGACTTCTTGTGGGTCACCTTAGCCATAGAAGCTTTCTCTTGTCTCAAAAGCTGGCACCATAGTACTGGCTCCACCTGCCCCAGGCCCTTGCTCCGAACTCTGACCACTCACAAAAATTACTTGAGGACTTTTAAATATAAATTCTCAAAGAGTGGTTCTGATCAGGTTAAAACTCCCTAGCATTCTGGCTAACACTGTGAAGAACACAATTTAAAAAGTGAATTCCGCCCCCCACCTCCTCCTCCACTTTTTTCTTGTTTGATATTGATGGCTTCTCTTGATTTTGGCTATGGCTGCTTTTAAAAATAATTAAACTAAAATAGGTCTGTCAACACTTCGTATTTTAGAGTAATTTATTCAAGTGTTGTAAATACACATAATTTTCCAATGTAATTGAAATGTTTTAGGAGTAAACTGGCTAAACTTTAAAATTTTTTTTCTTATAGTAAAAAAATAAGTGAATACAGATCTGTAATAAGGATTTTAACCACTGTTACAATATGGGAAATTTCTTATCTATATATTACTGTTTCTACTCTTCTAGATTATGTCTTCATAATTTCAATATTTAACTCACATTCAAGATGTCTGTCTTTGAATATGTTATTGGTATTGTTCACCTAATTTCTAGTTAGATGATTCTGTCTCACGGGTCTGGGTGTGCCCGACATCTATGATCTTTCCGTCCTCCTCAGGTCATTCAGACGGATAGCCCGCGCTGAGACCCATCGCCCTAAGCCTTGGATAGAAATTGCAGTCTGAGGAAACGGTTTCTTCAGTCAATGAGAATAGATGGATAGATAATAGATAGATAGATAGATAGACAGATAGATAGATAGACAGATAGATAGATAATCAGCTTCTCTGAATGTTTTTAATAAATAAATATTGACAAGTGTATGCATATAAGAGTGAAGGCCAGTAAAATTTTAAAATATTTAAAAATGCCCTGGCCAAGTAGCTCAGTTGGTTAGAGCATCATCGTCCCCATACACCCGCCAAGGTTGTGGGTTTGATCCCCGGTCAGGGCACGTACAAGAAACAATCAATGAATGCATCAATAAATGGAACAACAAACCAATGTCTCTCTCTCTGTGTCATATGAATAAATTCATATATTCTATTGTTAATGTTTGGGGAGGGGATGCTCAGCGTGGAGTCTGATGTGCTCCAGACCTACGGCCGGTCTTCCATTTTCTTCTCCTTTAACAGAAAACCATATTTCCACCTCACTTTTCTCTTCTTGAGAAGTGGTCAGTAACTACTGAATGGCGTTTCATCAGAACAGCCCTGGGTGGACACAGAGCAGACACTGGGACCGGCTTCCGGCCGGAAGTGAACTGCTCTGCCCAGCGCCCATCAGCGGGCGAGGTCAACCCTGCTGGCGATGACCCTTCCCACGCGAGAGTCGGTTGAGGAAGAAGAGTGAGCGGGAGTCAGAAACAGAAACCTGCACCAGGACTTTTGTTTTCATTCTATTTGTTAGCCCACGGTTCAGGATTAGGGTCCAATGTGGACCATTTCAGATAGGCATCCCAGACAAAAATATAGCAACTGATTGCGTTTAAAGCAACAAGTTAAATGTAAAAAATATAGTAAATAAGTTAAACTCAAAAAATATAGTAAATATTGTGTTTAAAGAGATCCTAGTGTTTTATCATCTTTAAATTATTTACCTAATAGCTATTTTTTCATGTTTCATCGCAGTTTCATTGGGAGGTTTTATTTGCTGAGAAATACACTCAAACTTGGGGAAGAGGACACGCCCACTTTGAAAGGGAAGAGCCTCCCACCACCAGGAGAAAGGCGTGGTGAGGGGCGGGGCACGCCGGGGTTGGGTCCCTGTTCCCACCTCCCTGTGCGTTGCTCACGTTTCTTCTCATTTAGCAAGTACCGGAGAATAATAATAACACATAAAGACAAGAAAAAAAGAAAACAACCAGCAAGATCAACCTCCTCCAACCAAGCCACCCCCAAGCCCTCTCCCTGTCCCCAGGCTACACCAGGGTGGCGACAGCCAGACGTCTGCAGCTCAGTTCTGTGCCTCTGCCTCTGTGACCGTGACTCACCCAGATGTTCCCGTCCTGATGATAGGGTTTCCAGTTCCTCCCAGTGTCGCTGTAGAGCATGCGGTATTGGGTCACCCAGTCGGAGCTGCTGTATCTTCCTTGGGTTGCGATGGCGCTGATCTGCTTCCGATTGCCAAAGTCAACCTGAAGCCATTGATAGTGGTCACTGTCAGATGGAGACCATCCCCCGGCACCTGAACCAGGAAGAGACAAGAGGGGACAATAGATATTTAGACTTCCGTAATTGACAGTGGGTTACTGTTCATCTTTTACTTGGCCTTGGCAGGGCTGTATTTCACATAGATATCATGAAATGTCCTTTACAGATGCCGCTGGGACTTCAACTAATATTCCTCCAGCTGGGTTACACTGATACTCTAACCTCTTTATGGTATAATTATGCACTCATTTTCTCCTGAGCAAATGTCTTCATAATTCCTCAATTAGATCTTATTAGTACATGTCAAAGTCTAATTGGCTGAGGGTTGATCAATTTACCATGAAATTTTCAACTAAAAATCACTAGAAAAAATATATGTAACAACCCATTAATTCCTCATCTAAGGTTTGAAATTTTGGTAGATTATAAATGAAACAAAAAGCAATTATGTGCGACTCTAAAATAGATTTTGCTGTCAAAAGTTCAGAGTTCAAAGAATACTCGTTTTTTAAGATGAGGCCTAATCTTTTTTTTTTTTCAGCATAACAAAGTTTTAGTTCATGTGCATAGTACATGTTCAGCTAGGGGAGGAGCCATGTTCTGCTTCATTGGGGGACCGAGGCTGACAGGCTGAGGCACCGGCAATGCATGGCTCCCTCAAGGGAAGAGAGGTCATGGGAAGCTTATAGTAACTACTCTGTCTTGATTAGGCTTGGAAGTTATACAGAGTGCCTCCATTCACATCCCATGTGCCTGGAACTAGTCAGATGGCCCTCTTTCTGAAAGGGGAAAGGAAGTATCCTCTTCCTCCTGCCCAGAATGAGAAAAGAGCCAGCTACTCTTGAGCCCTGGTAATATGGCCTAGATCCCCCAATCCCACCGAGCCAGAGATGACTGAAATCAAGTTCTCTTTACTCTTTCACTTGGCAGCTTCGCTTACATAGACTGTAACCGTTTTCTGCCAGGGCTTTTCCTACATGAAGCCCTTGTACTCATGAGGACTAAGGCATACAGCAAACTAGGCAATATGTTCATTAACACTTAACAGATAAACAACCAATGACTTCTGATAATCACATTTCTAGGAAAATGCTTTGAGGTACTAAATAAAATGCAGGGTGGAGGGGAATAAAGGGGGAAGAATGGGACAACTGCAATAGCATAATCGATACAATATATTTAAAAATAAATAAAATAAAATGCTTTTGGCAAAATATAATAAATGACTGGCAAATAGTAAGAATGCAAAAATAGTTATTAGAAAAGTAGTGTTAATAAAGAACAAAAATCTCCTAATTTATACCATTTAATAAAATAACTAGGGGTTGTACATCAGTACATTATAGAAAATACGGCATAAAAGAGACAATGTGATTTTTTTGAGTGAGTTTGGCTGTTAATGGGAGTAAATAAGACAAAACTATTCAATAAATTATCCAATTTATAGATGCAAAATATATGCATTGCTTTTCAAATAAGGAATTTAAAGGCTGACAATAAATAATTTATTCAATAAGGGCTGTACTAATAAAAATCATTTTGTAAATCATCACAGATATTTCATCCATTTAATGATGTTTATATAGATTATTTCTGCTTTCAGCTTTGGGAGAATCGCTCTCCCACCACAAAAAGTTACAAACCTGACAAAATGTGTAAAATTACCCTTGCAGGGGATTAGAAAAGAGACAGTGCAGGACCCTGATCCTCGAGAGAAGATGCACAAATGCAGTGAGCCCTGCCAGCTTCCTGGCTTTCTGCCTGGTTCACACTCCAGGTCCTGGCACATGGTCCAGCATCCCAAACAGAAATAGCAGCATCACTGGGATGGAGACCGATTGGAAGCAAAGCTCCCAAGGAAAAGAATTTGTGGGACAGATCGTGGAAAGGGGAGAGCTGTGCAGAGAAAGAGCTGGGAGAATCTGCAGCAGATCACCCATGAGTCTCTACAGTTCAGATGCTGGAGGAATGCCGAGCTGTGTGTTTGAAAACTGAGACTCGCGAGACCAGCTGGAAGAGTTCTGAAATGAACAGCAACCAGAGGACATCCAGGCTGAGACTCGGTCGATTTCAGACTAGACGAGATTGAGCAGACTTGAGCAACCCCAAGCGTTCAGTTGAGATCTCAGAAACAGGTTAGAATCATGTAGTCCCAAAGTAAGGGCTACTCTGCATACATCTGAGCAAAGATTGGCAATTAACCTGAAAAAAAGATCAATATGACCCACAAATAAATAATTCCTTGCTCAAACAAAACTCAACATTCCATTAAGGAAGGCCATGCAAGTTTAGAAACTCAACAACATAGCATCCATATCACCCGGTCTAAACACTTTGTAACATACTAGACATTTGAGGAAGCAGGAGAATAAAACTTATAACCAGAGAAAAGTTGGTTGACAGAAATGGACTGAAAATGACAGAGATGACCAAATTAGTAGATCAGAACTGTAAAACAGAGATTATAAATTAGTGCTATTAATTTAAAGACAGTATATATATACTGATTCAGTATATATATATATACTGAATATGCAAATATAAAATCTTAATGGAGAAAAAACAACAAAAGAGGAAAAATGAAAGTTTTTGAAGTAAAAATTATATGTGAAATAAAATACTTACTAGATGGGTTTAGCAGCAGATTAGGAGCTGAGAGAACACTTTAGTTTATGTGAATATAGGGTCATATAAACCTTTCAAATTAAAGCCCAGAGGGGGAAAAAGGCTTAAAAATAAACAGTTCTCCACTAATCCATAGGATAGTATTGTCATGCAAATATAGCACTAAAAGCAGAGAAGGTAGAAATTGGAGAGAAAAAATACATTTGAAGAAATACTGGTTGAAAAATACAAACCCAGATATGTGAGAATTTTGCTCCACTCCAAGCAAGATAAATAAAAGGAAAACACACCAGGACACATCATAATCAATTGGTAAAAACCAATGCCAAAGAGAAAATCTCAAAAGTAAGAAGAGGGCAATAACATCTCAGCAAAAAACAATACAAAGTGAACGACAATGAGACAACACATCTGAAGTGACGACAAAGAAGGAAAAAGAAAGTTGCCAATCGAAAATTCTATATCCAGCCAAAATACCCTTTAGAATGAAAGCAACATAATGGCATTTAGGACAAAATCTGAGCAAATGTATCATCAGCAGGTATGTACCATAAGAAATGGACATTTTTCAGCTCCAATGAAAGTTTACCAGATTGAAACTCACACCTACATGAAAACAACAAATGCTAGAAATGGTAATCATGTCCATAGGTGTAGGACATCTGTTCCTTTGTAAATGTATTTAAAAGATAACTGAGTGTTTAAAACAAAAACAATAACCACAAATTAGAGATGTAGAAGTAAAATGACCATAGAAGTAGTATGACTATAATAGCACAAAGGACAGAAGGTAAGAAAAATAGACACTGTCCCTGAGTGTCTTACATCACATTTGGAGTGATATACTATTTGATAGTTGTGAGCCCTAGATTGGGGGTTAGCAAACTCTCTGCAAAGGTTAAATGCTGAGTGTTTTGGGCTCCCCAGGCCATACACCCTCTGCGACAGTGAGTGCACTCTATGGCTGTAGCATGAAGACACAGATAAACATAAACAAAAAGGTAGGCATGTTTCAGCGAAACTGGGAAAGTATTAATTCTCCTTTAAGGATCAGTGTGTTCACTGCCAATCACACCCCTGCAGTGGACGCTGTGCTGTGCCATTCAGGGCCTCCCTTACGACAGCGGACTTAATCCCTCTGTTGTCTAGAGAGCTGCCAGAAGACACTGGTTCGCTGTAATTCCTCTGCAGGAATTTCCCGAGTGAAAAAGAAGGTCGTGCACCATCCTGGGGGTGTACAGATGCAGTGACAGGTCGACCACGGGTTGTAGAGGGCCAGGCCTCTCACCCCGACTTGGGAAAACCCCGAAGGGTCCGCATGGTCTCAGAGCTCCCTGCAGAATAGGTTGGAGCCTCCTTTGAGATTACCGTGCATTGCATCTCGAGCTCTCCCTCTAGGCAGAGGGAGTGTCTTCTTCACTCCCTTCTCTTCCACGGGTCCCAAGAGTCCCTAATCAATTCCTCTGTGTTCTTCTCCATCCCTGGAAGAACACAGATTCCTGGAAAAGCATGGCTGCAATACCTCCTTAAAACCACTTGCCTGATGATCTGCTCACTAACGACGTGAACTAATTTTCTCTGCTTTCCACTGTGTGTGTCATTTAGATGCTGTACTTTTTCCCATTGTAGTATGTAATATTCCCCAAGGTCATATATCATCCACACGCCTGTCACACCTAGAATTCTGTACAATTTTGGAGGAGCCATAGATAAACTTCTGGGATAACAGTATACCCAGTCATGAAGAGATTATAAATATTTTTTCCTATCTATTGGATATATTGTTCCAAACTTAGGAAAAATTCTATAGCTAATTGTGTATATAGTTCTACTCTGTGTTAATAATGGCAATGAGTTGGTTTAACCATTAAAGTATACACAAGCAATTATTACTGTGAGTACAGAGGAGAAAATATGCTCAACTGATGGTTGAAATTTAGATTAGTTCCCCTAATTAGTCCTGCAAAAATGTTCCAGAACAATTTTTCTTAAATTACTCATTTTTTGCCACAGTATAATTTTTTAACAAGGAGGCAGTTAACAAACACCCCACTACTTAATCCCATTAATCTCATTACTTTAAAAAATAGAATTTACCGACAACGTTAAGGGAGGCAAAAACCTAAAAAAGTGAAAATATAAGTTAAAAGTTACCCCTTAGCAGAAGTATGTATGGAGAGAACAGTGATTAACCCCAAGAGGAGGGCAAATGTCAGGCTTTTCTCGGGAACGTGGCAAAAAGATCAATGAAAAGTTTCCTGGTTTTCTTTGATCTACCAAGCAATGTAATTTGGCGAAGTTGATTACTTTGTACATTTGGCTTGTGAAGTGTATAGCCTCTATCGATCCGGGGACTGAGAACGAGAAGGCTTCCATCACCAAGAACTCAGGAAAACGATGTACGGGAGG